CGAAAAATAAAATAAAAATATGATAAATCTTGAAAAAATGGCTAGGTTCAGAATCTAAAGTTTGGGATTAAAATGTTAAGCGTAGCTATTTTGGTTAATATTGTGTGTTTAAAATTTAAGTTCCTGTAAATTCAACTTTTGGGCTCAAAACCCTAGGCATACTTTATTCCTACGTGACACTCTTGGAGGGGCTGATCAGCTTGGCACTATTTCATTGCTTTCTCCTCCATTTTTGTGAGCTTGAGACCACTTCCTTCCTTTTCCCTTCACCTAAACATTGTAGCTTGTGAGAGTTGGCCTTGGGAGGGTGTGGAGTGTCGCATTCTGAGTTTGTAGCCTCTGTGGTCAGGTGAAGTTGCTGACTTTGGGACTGTCTTCTTGGGTTTGGCTTGTGTGACCTTGTTCTTGCCTTGTGCGGTGCCAAAAAGTGATCTTTTGGCTTAAATGACCAAGCTTGGTGGTCAAATTCGTGTCTTGCCAAAGTCAGAACCTTGGTGCTGTGTAGAGTGCCCCTGGTGTGCCTCATTTTTGGAGTTTTGGAGCATAGAGGTATACCATGATCACCTCTTTGTCATTTTGAGGTTTTAAGCTTGTTTAATCCTTTAAAAAGAGAAACTTTAACCATTTGAGTAAAGGAATGTGTTTCTGAGTTCATAACATGGTAATGAATATCTGTTTATGGGGTCATTGGACTCCAAATCACGTTTGAACCCTTAAAAGTGGGATTATGCAGAAGTCTGTTCGAATTTCTGAATTCTGATGGAGAAGTATTCAAATACTTTTCGTGTAGTATTCGAATACTTGTCCACTGGTAGTCGAATACTCCATGATGGAGTATTGAGATACTTTTCTGGGAAGAAAAGTATTCGGATACCTTTGAAGAAGTATTTGAATACTCTCCAATATTCGAATACAGTGAGTTTTGGTATTCAGATGTTGTACTATTCAGATACTTGGGGTGTTGGTATTCGAATACCTCATGGTATTCGAATACTTTAGTGAAAGTAATCGAATACTTTCTGGAGGCATGGAGTATTCGAATACTCTTCGGGGAGTATTCAAATACCTCCTGCAGAAACAATATGAAATGACTTAAAATGAGATGGAAAGCCTTAATCACTTAATGTAACCTTGGTGAATGGTTATTGATGATTATTTACTGTATAACAGATTGTGATTGTGCTGTTTGTAGGCCTTGAGCTTGTATGGACTCTTGGCTTGGATAGTTAGCTTGCAAGGTAAGCTTTCGTGTCCTCGGCTTAGCCATTGTTTGTTCCACCATGTCCCATGGGGGGATGGCTATATGCATGATGTGTTTTCATGTATTGTTTTATTGAAATGCTACTGAGCTGTTAAGTGCAAATGTTATATGATATGTATGTGGCGTTCGCCTATACAGGAAGCCATGGGGTGGTCCTGTGGGCGGGTACAGCATGGGCTGGTAGTGTGTGGGTAATAGACGCATTCCTACACTTCTATGATTAGTAGAATAGTTATAACACACATGACATGATTATCTGCTGCATTGCACTGATATTGAATTACTGCTTTTAGAACTTATATTGCACATGTAAGTGAGCTTGGGGTGGAAGATCATTGAGAACCCCTTGTCTTACTGAGATTTCTGTTTAGAGATCTCACCCCACGTTTGGGGCACCATTTTTGGTTCAGGTAATGCGGGGAGGGGGGGGGGGGGTTGAGACCTTTAGCGGCAGGAGGCCGAAGCTTAGCTGATTGCATGCTATTATGATGATTTTGTTGGATGCTGACATTGCTTTATCTTTACTGTCATGTTATTTGATTTGAGACTGCTGTTGGGCGTTGTTGCCTTATTTGGTGAGCATGGGAATTGTCCATGCCACATTGACTTGACTTTATGTTTTTAGTTGTTTCAAGTTGAATAATTGTATCAGGATTATGTCCAGACTACGTGTTGTAGATCCGTGACTTAGAGACTCACTTATTTATTTATGAGGTATTTCAGTTAGCTGTCTATTTGCAATTTACATACAGGCAATGTTTTGGAAATGAATTAAGTAATTCAACTTGGTAAGGATACTGACGTCATAATTGAACAGAAAAAGATATTCCACAAATTTTTATTAAGCGTGGCTTAATACGATAACATGTTAACAAACCGGGTTAACACGAGGTGTTACAAAATGAGGCGATTTGATGCTAGAATCTTCCTCTCTATCGCCTATTTCGAAAAGTGGTAGCCTACTTGTGATGGGAGCATGATGGCTCATAGGGCTTAACCCTATATAAAGAGGTTAGAGATGAGACATGCCCAAAAACACTATAAAGAGTTTGTGTCCACTGAGACCACCCATCATGAAAATCAGGGTCACACTAAAATCTACACTACTCTATAACTAGACCCAATACTAGAAGATGTCAAAAGTCGAATTTATCATTATCACAATAGGCTAATAATAATAATTAAAATAGGAGTACTCATTAATCCAATTAATTTTAAAATATAAAACATATTAATCAATATTGCCCAGGATAATTTCTATCAAGGAGAACAAGAGTTTAGTTAGCTATTTTGATGGTGCGAACTCAAGCCAAAACTAAGTAAAGGGGAGGTACATATTGATGGCTTGGTTATGGCAAATAAGTAACTATAGAATCTAGTAGTAAATAAGCATGAAGGTCCCTTCCATATCTAATAGAGGGATATTAATTAGGAGATAGATGAAGTGTGTAATTAAAGTGCGATGTAAAAATCATCTTCCAACGGGTTGCACTCGTACATATGAGCCATCGTATTCCTTATGGTGAGGTGATGTGATGCATGAGAGTAAGGGAAATCGGAAGAGTTGTTGGTTTAGTGACGATCCAACTAGATCCTATGATTTAACCTACTCAAGGGTAGAAAATTCGATTCTTCAGAATTATAATTCTTGATAAAGATGGAGAGATATAAATCCAAAATTGGATTAGTCAATTTTATTAAGACATTAGACACCAATTGATCTGGAGGAAAGGATATTTCTAATATGAGAAAGACCACCGTCCTACTGTAGGTCAGATATAGAGGGCCTCGTGCCGGCCCAAGGCCCTCATCCAACATGACATTATTACGTCATTAAAAGGTGTGAACTTTTGAAATATTTATTATGAAATTTATTTTTTATAGTAACATATTAATACATATAGTAAATGCTTAAGTTCATCCTTAGAAGATACACATCAGACGAAGTTAGTCCTTCAAATTCTTTTATTTATAATAATTTGGTATTTTATAGTGCAAAAAGGATTGTAGTTAGATATAATTTCATATTAACTTTACTAAATAGTGTGAGTATGATATTTTTAGTGTCTTAAAACCCGGGTTGCACCAGTCGAGGGAACAGTCTATGAGAGTGAATAATGTTACCACTTATCATGATTATTCTCAATTATTGATCAAAATTCATCTTATAATATATTTATTATAAAATTTAATATAAAATTTAATTAAATCGATTGAACCAATGACTCATTGGTTAAACTAATGATTCAGTGACTTAATACCTCAATCGAGTCGATGAATGGGCCGAATTTAAAACACCCAATATTTCATTCAATAAAAACAGAATATTAAAACGTGTAATTGTTTTTTTTTTAAAAATTAGTATAAAAATCATCGGTTGAAGAGTTAAGATATAATATATATATATATATATATATATATATATATATATATATATATATATATATATATATAGGGGAGGGATCTTTTAACTCTAGAGTAAGACTTACAACTCTTACTCTCCAATATATATATATATATATAAATTAATTGGAAAATTTAAATTAATGTAAAAATATTTAATTCACGAACTTAATACCTTGTATTTTTAAACGATTAATTTTTGTATTTACTTGTAATAAGTAATTGAATGCTATTTTAATTGTTTACATTGCATTAAAAAAAAGTAGAAAGAAAAAAAGGAAAAAGAAGCAAGATAAGGCGGCAAAAGCATAGAGGCAAATGCAGTCTCACGTGTCCATGTTTGGCTCCACAGAAACAGCACCATTTCACTTCACTTTAATTAGGACTTTAAATGCGAACCCGTTGTCTTGTAACTTTCCCGTGTCAAGCTTTTCTCCACTTTATTACCCTTTCTGGCTAACTTTCTTCTTTGCCTTTATCATCAAACACGGATACCACGGGACAAACCATGGGACCACTATTTTTCAGTATTTACAATGTTACTAATAAAATCACACACAAATACTTTAGAGAAAGAACAGGTGAATTCGAAAGAGAAAAATATTAATAGTTTAGTATAAAATAAGGGGTCATATTTTAAGATCATAAAATAAAATTTATATAAATTTAAAAGGTTTCAAAGATGGGATTAGATTCTATCCAAAGTTACCTTTCTGGTTCTAAAATGAGATAATTCAACTATCAAAATCCTTTAGCCTTTTCTTTTACGAATCAAATTATCTTAATATTACGTCATTCGGGGAATCAAAGAATAATGTCGCACAATTTTGTTCTATAATATTCTTAGTACTCTTAGACTGATTTTGTTCTATAATTGACACTACTTGTATTATTATCATGTCAATATTCATGATCAGGTTGTGACAGATAGAGATTGAATTGAATCTGTGCATTATGAAATGTTTTGCTCTTTGCCACCAAAAGAAAAGAAAAGGAATATAAAAAAGGGGTGTTGTTTCTCTTGCACAATAAGAAACAAGTTTTAAATATTATCTACATATTTGTCAAAATATTTGTTTAATTGGACCTTTAGAATATGATACTTTTGCAAACATAATCAAAATGAAATATCCTTTTTGATGCTGCTAGTTATGCTATTCGATTCAAATCATTCTATAAAGCACAGCTAGGCTTGTGTTATTTGCATAGGTCTCATTGACGTTGATGCTATGTGCAAATCAAAAGGAAAGACTTAATAAAGTCAATGCAATAAACGAGTTCCACAAATTTTGGACGGTGATCAGAATCAATTTTACCTGGGCTGACAATTATGATCTTTCTCTACGAATAATTTATGCAGCTTTAACATATGGGTCTTCACTTGAACAAGGTTGGGGGTATACTTATAAGATACTTCAACACTTAAGTCAAATTTTGTGTATGCAGATTTATTCATGTAGAAGAATATGTGTACATTTGGTTAACACTAGTATTTATATTGGAGGATGACTAGCTTTAGGAGATGCCCCTGCAAGTTGGCTGCAAAAGTGGATGAGGCAACAAGGTATTTCAATTGGTCCTAGTGTAGATGGTTTGAGATCAATTTGCAAAGGAGTTGCAGAAATAACATGGTTGAAGCACAAGGTAACCTTGACTAAAATCCAGCACAAGGCTTTAAATATGGGTCTTAATATATTATTCCAGACCAATTTTTCCCCCAGCTCGATGCTTCACTTCTTGGAGTGCCAAGAAGTTAGAGTTAAGCCTTTATTTTGCTTTTATTTGCGACATGTATGTCTTCATTTCACTTTGCTTTATTTTGTACTATGGTTTGTATTCTGCTGGTGCTTGAGAGCTCCACAACAATATTTGTGCACTACACATTATATAAACATTTATATTTCATATGTTTGCATACCTTTCTACTTTTATGTTTTTGTTTAATTCTAGGGGATCCTTTTGTATATGAGATGCTTTGTTGTTCCCGCGAGATGACGTGTTGCTTTAGTGTTCAAGTTATTTAATGCATTTCTTTGTTCAAATTAAGGTTCATGCCTTAAGGTGAAGTTCAATTCTTCATTCTTTTTGCAGGATGTTTTCGGATGCCTAAGGCTCACACCTTGGGTTCCAATCTAGGGTTCAGGCCCTAGACTAGAGTTCAATTCTTTGTTCTTCTGTGAGATTCTGCCCCAAGTTAATTTTCTTTCTGCAGGATGTCTATGAGTGCTCGTTCATGTTGGCAATCTTTATCTTCAATTTGACCAATAATCTTTTACGAGATATAGTTTCAATAATCTTTAACTTTCCTATTTAGGGTGGGAATTGAAGTTTACCTTTTCTCACAGATAGCGCCAATGATTAGAATCAATTTTACTTGAGCTGACAATGATGATATTCCTCAACAAGCGATTTGATGCAACTTTAACCCATGGGTCTTTAGTGGAACAATGTGGGGGGTGTATCTGCAAGACACTTCAATACTCAAGTCAGATTTTGTATAAGCATGTTTATTGATGTAAAGAAATATGTGTACTTCTGGTTAACACACATGTATTTATAGTGAGGGATAACCAACTTTGGGGGATGCCTTGCAAGTTTCTTACAAGTGGTCAGGCAGCAAGGTATTTCAATTGGTCTTTGCATAGGTGGCTTGAGATCAGTTTGTAGAGGAGTTGTAGAAGTAACATGGCTGAAGCACAAGGCGACCTTTGCTGACTATAATCCTTTCTTGAAGATACCTTTCTTTATGGTGAAGACTTTAAATATGAGTCTTAATATGAGTCTTAAATCAGATGGTATTAAGAGAATGATGTTTAAAGAGAAAAGAATATATTGTGGTTCAAGCATCATAAATATTTATTCACTCTCGTACAATAATTTTAAGTATTTTTTTCTTGAGAGACTTAGTTTGCTAAACTTTTAATTCTATTTAAATATCACATTTTTTTAAAAGTGTAAATTTTATTTATTGGAATGAGTTAATCTATTATGCTATTTTCTTTATTTAAATGTTATATATCTTTTCTCCGAATACTAGTTTTTTTCTCTCTAAACATTGACATTCTTATTGGTCTTTTAATTTTTCTAATCTTATCTATATCTTATTTTGGGACATTGACCAGTATGCCACTCTTATGAATAATATTTACCTGTATGCCATGTTCCAATCAAATTTTGTCAAAATGTCACGTCACATTCTCGCTACGCCAACAAGCTACAATGGACTGAACACGGGACAACATTTGCATGGGCAGTCATTCTCGTTGAGCTGTGTAGCGAGAATGGCTGGTCAACGTGACAGACAGCCACATCTCTAAAAGCTGTCCAGGTGGCTAATCTTGTTGGACTGCGCAGCGAGAATGCCTGTAATTTTACCACTTGTCAGCACCCTACCATTCTCGCTGAGATGCCCATGTAGACGACGTTGTCACGTGTCCAGTCTATTCTCGCTTGTTGGTGTAGCAAGAATGTGATGTGTTATTTTGACAAAATTTGATTGGAACGTGGCATACAGGTGAATACTATTCATATATAAGAGTGGCATAACAGTCAATGTCCCTCTTAATTTGATAGAAATCTTATTCGTAATATATGTAATTGATAAAATTGAATAAACATGATTAAACATATTTTAAAAATCAAAAAAATTATTTTAAATTGTTTATACATATATAATATATGAATAAGAAAAATAAAAAAAAGGAATGATCAACTTATACTAGTATAAAAATAAGAAGTTTTACACCCAATCCAACTTCATTATTTATTAATAATCTTTAAATATAGATATGATCAACAATTTAGATTGAAAGTATAATTTATACTAGTGTAAAATAATCATGTCCCTTAATAAAATGCTAATATAAAATACTTAAGATTTTTTTAAAAGTACCTAATATTGGAAGTATAGGTAATTCACTAGTATAAGATTTTCATCCGAGATGCTGTTTATTTTTTCATATGTGTGTTTAGTATATCTATTTCTATAATAGAAAAAAAGTGCCATATCATTCATCTTAAATTATAATATAAATGTAGTATGTTAACACTATATAAAAATTCTGTGTTAAGGTCATTTAGACAAAATCATAAAAGAACTAGAATTACACTGCAAACAAACAATATACATATATCTATATTAAGGCGAACTAACTACTAGCCGTATAATATATGAATAAAATAAAAATTATGTACAAGCAACATTATTTTTTATGGCATCTCTAAAAATAATATCGTCTTCAAGAATAAACGAGGTATTTGTTATCACAAAATCATCATAAACATCTAACCCCATTGTTTCACTTAAAATTTGATACACAATTCGATCAGCTAAAGTTCTTTACATATTTATGTGATAGGTAATATATTTATCATGTTATAAGAGATAATTTACATACAAAAATATGGGTGAGATCCCTTTTTATTTCACTCTTTTTTTTAGTGGGTCCCACTCGCTTTTTAGAGTGTGAATTAAATAAAATTGTCTCACGTAACATGAGAAATGTATTCCGCTTATTTGATTCAATTTTTTTAATGACTATTCTGCAAAGGAGAAGTTTTCAATATATATTTTTTTTTTTGTAATGAAGTTCTGAATGTTTTTATTTCTTCACTTTAAGGGAAACAAATGAGGTCTATTTTATTTTGAAAAAATTCTTTTGCACATTTGGGGTGGTGAAGGAGCAAATTAAATTTGGTTGGTATGGACTTTATTGGTCAAACTAAAGAAAAAAAAAAGTTTTACAGGATTAAAAATGTGAGGAACCCACAATGAAAACAATTTTTAACTTTTTTATTTATTTAGAAAAACAGAATGATAATAATCAAACTCTAAATTATTTAATTATAAAGACCATGATATTATATCTCGTAAATTAATTATTTTAATAGGTTAAAATATTACGAAAAGATACATTCGTAATTATTTAATTTTATAAACCCTTCTTAGCAATGTTAATCTCATCAAATATAAATCTCAAAAATCTAACTTCACAATCAAGACAACCATTAACTATTAAGGTCCAAAGAGGCAGAAATAGGTGAACGGTGGCAAAATTGATAAATATGCAGTACACAGGGTTGTATATATATGGAACCTTATTTTAGGAAAGACGGCGCCCGCAAATGTATTCTTTATAGAGGAAGTGAAAACGACGAGGCATTGGCAAGGCACTCGTGAAGCAGAATCTGATACGGCCAGAATCTGGTGCGGCCCAAGCCACGTCTAATTTAGGTTATGTGTTTAATTTTTAAAATTATATTCAAAATAAAAAATGATAGAGTAAAATTTTTTATGGGTCCCTAACAAAAAAGGGATCACATTCGTACCTTACTAAAAAAAATATTTACATTAATCTTTTTTTAGGAATTAAATTGGGTCTTTATTGAATTTCTGAGGGATCACATTTTCAAAAAACTACAATTATAAAGGAGCAAAAGTTGACATTTTTTTTTGTAAGGGACGAGAGTGGGGACCGTGTTTTTTGCTAGGGTCTCAAAAGGGGCTTTATTCAAAATAATAAAAAGAAATGAGCTCCATTGAAATTTACAAATATATATATATATATATATATATATATATATATATATATATATATATATAGAGTTTAGTGAGTGTACAGTGACTGGATACAAAATTTGATCGAGTGCACTAAGTTTTCCTGCGAGAACACAGTTATAGTAAGTATTATAAATAAGTTCTCGCGAGAGAACTTAGTGCACTGGAGGTCCAGTGACTGAATTTTCATTTTTTCCATATATATATATTGGGTAACCATTCTCTTATGCTATTGGAAAAAAAATCTCTTTTGAAAAAAATAATAATTATATACTATAGGTAGTAATAGTTATAATATTAAAACTTTTTTTTCTCTTCTCAGGCATTGTTAGCAGACGTAGCAGATAGAGAAAAAATAATTTTACTATTATAACTATGTACTACCTATAGTACATAGTTAGTTTTTTTTCCAAGAGATCTCCTGCGACATGAGAAAAATGAAACTATATATATATATATATATGAAAAAATATTTCTCCAGCCACTTGAGATCTCAAGCTACCATTTTAACTATGTACTATGGGAAGTACGTAGTTATAATATTAAATTTTATTTTTTCCTCTCTCCACATCAGCAGACAAGTTCTGAAAAGTGACTGAGGAGAGAAAAAAAAATAACTTTAACGTTATCTATGTTGCACTGACACCGGACACAGGACACGACACAACACTAAGACACGTTAATTCTAAAAAATGCCATATTTCGACACGTTTGGACACGTTTTGATGTTAAATACTATTTTTAACATATATATGGTTTGTATTTTTTGCAGTTACTGTAGATAAGTTATGTGCAATAAGCCTAATACGACGTCGTTTTGGGACGAAAATCATGGTGTTTTTGTAATTTTAATTTATTTCAGGGTTATTATAGTCTTTATAATTATAATTTTTTAATGTTTCAATACGAAAACGATGTCGTTTTGGGAGTAAATGCAGATAACTTATCTGCAATAACTGCAGAAATATTTTTCTGTATATATATATGTATTAAACATTATTTCTGTTAATAATGCTTTTTATTTCATATTATAATTAGAATTTCATTTGCCAGCTAAAAAATAATTGCTGCCAATCCTTTTTGAGTAATGATGCCTGCAGCCAGCCATAGAGGTGTGTTATCTCACTCCATCACGCATTTTGTGATTTATGCTACTGAGTGTAGGGCGTTCATCACTCTCGCTTTGTCTCTTCCATCTAGTTAGTCTTTTTCCCTTTCTCATTTTTTACTTCACTATCTTTTAACACTCTCTTCTTCAATCTTCACCCAAAACAAACAATGGCATCCTCCTCCAACATGTTCTTGTTCACAACAGTCTCATTAATCTTCTTTAAAGCATCATATGCAAAACTCACCTTAGATTTCTACAAGGACATGTGTCCATAGTTCAACACCATCATCAAAGACACCGTCATAAACAAGTAGATTGCGAGTACAACCACCACCACCGCCACGCTCCGCCTCTTCCTCCACAACTTCCTCCTTGTTGGACAAGTGGCTTCAATACTCAAGAGGGGGGTGAATTGAGTTTTACAAAATCTTTTTGCAAAGTGTCTCCTTTGATATTTTAAAGAGAGTTTCTTCAATAAAGTGATTTAATAAGGAAAAATCTAAATGTGAGAGCAAGTGTGTGATCAACAAAGTAAGCAACAAAATAGATAAACACAATCTAAAAATGAAATTTCAACACTAAAGTAATGAGTTTAAGGTTAGAGAAATTGCAAACTAGATGTATCCTGATTCGGTCACCACCACTGTGACCTACGTCCAGACTGAATCCGCGCTCAATCAAATCTTTTCACTAGCTATCAAGCTTGAGGGTGTTTGACAAACCACTACAAGCTTTCAAGACTTCGGGCTCTTGATGCCTCACAATGTTACACTCCAAATTTTCTTAGGAATTTGGTGACCTTTCAAGTGTAAGGGTTCACTCCCCTAATTATTCAAGAAATCAAATGGAGGTGTTTAACAATAGCTAAGTACTCTCAAAGTACAAATTATACAAGTTGAAGAACTATTGGGTGTTGACACTCTCACAAGAATAAAGCTCAAAGAGAATTTATGATCAAGATGATTGAAAATAAGTAAATGATGTGAATTAAAACAAGAATTATGATCAAGAAGCGTTATCCAATCAATGGAACAATGGTCTCTATTTATAGAGGGTCCCCAAGTTCCTTTGTACACCTATTTTTGCAAAATTAGCCGTTTATAGCCATTATTTTCGTCTTCTGGTGCAATAGGAATCGATTCCCAATGAGTGGGAATCGATTCCCAACTTTTCCAGAGAGTGGGAATCGATTCCTGCTAATAGGGAATCGATTCCCAACCTGTTGAA